TCGTCATGCTGGGACATCTGCTTCTACTCAGCCGACTGACCCTCTTCCTCCTCCTCCGGCTGAGGAGATCGCTGAGGATGAGCCCGCTCCCTCTGAGGCCGTTCCTCAGCCGCAGATGGTCGCCTCCGAGCGTCCACAGCGCACTCATCGTCGCCCTTCACGTTACGATGACTGACACTCTTATCCTTCATCTTTCCCCACTGACTCACACCATCAGGTACTCCATTATCAGTTCTTCTTCAGGATGTCAGCGTTTTGCGGCTCTGCTTCGACATCGACTCGACTGCTACTTCATCGACGTCATCGACCGATTCGACGACTTCAGCTACCTTATCGGCTTCAGCTACTTTGGACGTGACTACTTCACGCCACCACCCTACCCTGTACATTCCCCTGCATCTGTCGCATGATGGTTCTCACTTAGCTGGGTCTCTTTGAGTTGGGCTCTCCATTGGTATCGCATAGGCATTCGGACCGTAGCGTTATCTTGGCTTCCCTGCTCCCAGATCTAGCTCCTTCCTCCCGAAGTCGGTGAGTTGTGTGCATGTTTCCCTCACCCGCTGCCCTCATCACCCTAGTGCCGGCCCTTGCATGCCTTCAGTTAGGCATATCTCCACCCTATTCCAGGCTCCCCCTTTTCATGGTCGACCCTGCATGGTGTCACCCTTGTCGAGCATTACCCGCCTTGATGGTCTATCTGTTAGGGTCATTGGTTTTGTTTCGCTACCACTCTCCCACCTTGAGSCTGATGACCTATCCCACCTTCATGTGTGACTGCCCTTAGGAGTTTCGATTCTTAGGCTGCATTCACCACCTCTGAGACCATCCCACTTTTAGTGGTTCAGCAACATGACATTATCTTGTGACATATTGCTCTTCTCCTTTCAGCACTGAGGCCACTGCCTCCAGGACTTTAGGAGTGTATCATACTACATTTCATTTTCTGCTGTTAGCTAGGATATGTATACCAGACATTTGCTTTTCTTTTGACATTATATAGCTTACGATGCATCGCATGGACTCTGCATGGAGCTTGCTCCGCATCCTATATTTCTCAGCTTTCTTTATTGCAGAGTTCCGCTGCTTTTGCGGATAGCGTGTTTATGGCTCTTGCGATCCATTACAGGTCTGAGGATCTTGCAGCAGGCCTTCATCTGCCCTGACCCACAGCCAGGGCCTATTTGGCTATTTGCCAGTCCGGCCTGTGGGACCAGGCCGTGGCCTGACCCCACAGGCCGTGCGGTTATTCAGTCCAGTCCAGTCCTGCCCGGTACCACTATCGGTATCAGGCCAGTCCAGTCCAGTCCAGTCAGTCCGCTGGGGGTATACCCCAGCTGCAGTCTGTTTTGTGGCATTCTTCATTTGCACAGATTGGAGTACGTGCGTGTTGAGTCTGTGTTGGAGCTGCGCTGTCCCTTCCAGCTCCATCTCCATCTCCCCCATCCTCATCCCTTCGTCTTGATCCTGACGGACCGCCATCCCGGCGGGTCCGTCACATCCTGACTAACCTGTTGGCGAAAGATGTTCCTTTCAGATGAACACCTACATGCCAATTGACTTTCCCCTGATTGAAGAAAACCTTGACCAGAGCACTTGTGTTGAAGCTCCCTAACCTTACTCTGCCATTTGTGTTGACCACTGATGCCAGTCAGTATGGTGTAGGGGTTGTCCTTCAGCAAGATGACGGGTCTAGCCTTAAGCCTGTGGAGTTCATGAGCAAAAAGATCAAGGCTCAAAAGATCTAGGCATCTACTTATGATAAATAATTGTTTGCCATTGTGTGTGCCCTCAAACAATGGAAACATTTCTTGCTGGGAAGACACTTCAAGATCTATTCTGATCATTCGACCTTGACGTGGATGAAGACCCAGGGGGAGCTAAATGATAAGTTGGTGAGGTACATTTAATTCATTGACTCTTTTGACTTTGAACTTCAGCACAAAAAATGATGTTATAATAGAGTTGCTGATGCACTTTCCCGTAGGCCTGACACTTTTGCTGCCACTGCTCAGACCTACGCGTTTGGAGACTCCATTCGCCAGGCCATTGCTGATGTGTTGCCTCAGGACCCTATCTTTGGACCCATTGTCCGGAATCTGCAGGTCGATCCCAATTCTAAGTCAGGCTATGCCTTGACTTCAGACCTCCTGTATGCTATCAGTGAGGGTGAGGAACGTCTATGTCTCCCTAATGATCGCAAGATCATAACTCATCTGATTTCAAAGAGTCATGATGCACGTGGTCACTTCGGGTTTCTGAAGACTTATGCTGCCCTGATCCAAAACTTCTACTGGCCAAAATTGAAAGAGGACATACTCCACTACTTTGAGACTTGTGAACTTTGCCAAAGGAATAAGGTCCACATAGGACCTCCTATGGGACTGCTCAAACCTTTACCAATCCCTGAAGGCCTCGGTGAGTCTGTGTCTATAGACTTTATTGACTTAAGCAAGACCACCTCGAGGGATGAGACAAGTAATGGTATGTGTAGACCGGTTCTCTACGTACTAAGAGTTCATCTCACTAGCTGTTGAGGCTAGAGTGCTTCTTGTTAAAGAGGTATTCGCTAAGAGGTGGGTGAGTGTCCATGGGCACCCAACCTCTACTGTGAGTGACAGAGACCCACATTTTTGTAGCGATGAGTTGCAGTCCGTCTGTTAGGATTATCTTTACTTTAGGTTGGACATGACATCTGGTAGACACCCTAAAAGCCTCTTGTTTCAGCTGCTACGCTATGTGATCACACCAAATCAACAGGATTGGGACAAACATCTGTCCAGGGCTCAACTCATGTAAAATGTTTTTGATCATAGTACAACTGGTTTCACCCCCTACAGATTGCATTGGCATAGGGACCCCACAACCTCTCGATAGTATTATCGATAAGGCTAAGCCCAAATTGACCCTTGGCACTACCAAGTTTGCCAGGAGCTATGAGAAGGATTTACGGAAGGCCAGAGTTAACATGTTTAAATCACAAAAGAGAATGATTGAACAAGCTAACAAACACAGACAACCTTCTCCTATCCGTCCTGGGCACTGGGTTTGGGTAAAACGTTCAGAACTAACAGATGAACATGACATCTCATGAAAGTTGTTGCCTGTCTATTACGGTCCATGGCAGGCTCCAGATAGTGAAGGGGCAAATCCGATTGTACCCTCTTATGTTCTCGTTGTACCCCCACACATTCGGACCCATCTTGTCTTCCATGCTTAAAAATTGTTGCCTTTTAATCCCGCTGACACATTCCTTGATCGACCACAACAGCTTGGGCCTCCTATCCCTGGAAAGGGATATGAAGTCGAAAGCATTGGAGATCAGTGGAGCATAGGACGCAACTGTTAGTATCTTGTCAAGTTCCTTTTCCAACTTCATGCAGAGGACCGTTGGTTTACAAGAAAGGAATTTCTCAAGTCGGCAAATTCAGTCGTACGGTCGTACGGCTCTACGAGGCTGAGCAAAGTGGGAAATTGCCCATGCAGTCTCCTCGTGGACACTCCTAGCTCAGGGTCCCCGCTGCCTGGAAGGGTAGGAATGCAATGAATTGTAGTGGTGCAAGTGGGCCGTATGCTAATTTTGTCCATTTTGTCGTTGTCGTGACTTGATCCCACAACCATTGTTTGTTGTGTTGCCTGTTTGCCTGCTGTTTGCTTGTTTTGAGCCTTGCGGGACTGGATTTTGTGACCTGTAACTTGTGTGTGTTTTGTTTGTGAGTGTTGCATCCTTTGGGACTTGATCCCTGAGTTTCCCACTAGTCATCTTTGTTTGGTAGTCTTAGGTCATTCGGCCTTTTACTTTTGCCTGTCATAGATCGGGGTCCACTTTTCCCGTTTCTTGGGTAGGTACAGGGGAGTCGTAGGTTGCTCTCGTAAGCGGGATGGTGGCCGCCCCACCAAAGGTCGCGGGCGTGGCAAACCAAAGACACACACCAATTCATCCCCCAGGCCCGTAAGACATCTACCGCATCTGTACCAAGTACCAATACTCTTTGTGGTGCAATAGCGCAATGCATGACACGGCGAAGTGCACCACTCAAGTCAAAGGGAAGTCCTTTCGAGAAAGTGAGCACTGCTGAGAGTGATGCGGCTGCACGTTCGACGCCTTAAGAACCGATTGCTTCGTGAGCGACCTCTCTTCGTTCTGTGGCAAATGCGGAAGTCGATAGTCCTCTCGTTTATTCTTTTGAGGACTATGTTGCCCGACTCATTCCTTCGCTGGGTTCTAAAGCTCAAGGACAAGATGTGTGTGTGGTTTCTTCTCCGTCGGGAAGTAGCGACAATTTATCGTCTTCAAGTGGTTCTTCAAGGGATTTGGCACATGAGTTCAACATAGAGGTTATGGACCCGTCGACGTTCGAGGATTTTGCATGGTTTCCTCTCCCTTCCACGGGCTGCTGCGCAACATTATGCGCCCATCTCCACACATACTTAGCCTTCTATGCACCACCATCTTCGCCGACAGATGACGAAGCTGCGGTGGGGGACATCCTTGCGTATGTTAGCAAGGTGGCCTGCATATTTTGCACGCAGGAGTACGATGACAACAATGCACCACTCCTTTATGTTCTCATCCAAGTTGGGCAAGCGTCCTGCAACGCTTTGCTCGATAGAGGCACTACTCGCAATTTTCGTCGGCCAGTCCTTTATCCAAAGGGCTGGCCTTGGCGCACAAGTACGAAGGAAGCCAAACCCGATGGCGATCAAGTAGGCTGGCGGTCGGATGCAACAACTCCTTGATCGCTATATCGAAGGCATGCCGGTTTATTTCGCACCTCATGCATGCGAACCGATGGCATTTGACGTTTTGGATACAGACTTTGACATCATTTTGGGGATGCCTTGGCTTGCAAGTGCGGACCACACGGTCGACTTCCATCGGCGGACACTTACTGTTCGCGACGCCTTTGGCGCCGAAGTGTCGTGTACTATTACCCTTCCGCACCCTTCGATTTGGTGCCAAGTTGTGACGGCCAAGTCTTTTCGGGCCACTTGCGCTTACAAGCAGACCGATGAGATAGGCCTATGTTTTCTTCGTACCATCACGACCACTGAATCTTCACTTACGGACTTATCTTCGGGCCCCCGAGTGGTGCGGTTGCTCGACGAGCTCACCGACATCTTCGAGTCTCCTACCGGTGTGGTGCAGGATCGGCTGATCTCCCATGAGATCATTCTTGAGGCTGGTGTGGTGTCGCCGAAAGGATGCATTTATCGCATTAGTGAGGAAGAGCTTGCGGTTCTCTGTGCACAACTCGATGATATGTTGGACAAGGGCTGGATCCGCCGTAGTAGCTCACCATATGGTGCTCCAATTCTCTTCGTACGCAAGAAGAACAAGGATCTTCGTTTTTGCATCGACTACCGCAAGCTCAACACACAAACCATCAAGAATGCGGGACCACTTCCGCACATTGACGATCTTCTCGAGCGTTTGGGCGGCGCAAAAATATTCTCAAAGTTGGACTTAAAGTGGGGCTATCATCGACTCTTGATATGCCTGCAAAATCGCTGCAATCCGTATTCAAGAAGCGGTATGGGCATTTTGAGTGGGTTGGTGTGCCTTTTGGCCTCACCAATGCCCCGACGACGTTTCAAGCGGCGATGACCAATGAGTTTCGCGCAATGTTGGACTGGTTTGTGCTGGCCTAATTGGATGACATTCTCGAGCACCTTCGACATGTGTTAGAGACGCTCCGTCGTGCCAAATACAAAGCCAACTGCGACAAGTGCGAATTCGTGCGTCAGGAGTTGGAGTACTTGGAGCATTTTGTCACACTGGAGGGCATCAGTTCGTTATCGAACAAGATTCAAATCATCCAAGAGTGGCCAAAGTCGAAGAATGTCACGAATGTTTGTTCCTTTCTTGGCTTAGCCGGCTGCTATCAACGCTTTATCCAGGGTTATTCGAAGATCATGACCCATTTATCCAAGCTTCAATGGGAGGATCGACCATTTCACCTCGACAACAATGCGCGGGCTTTCTTTTTGGCCCTCAAAACCACGTTGCTATCCGCGGAGGTCTTGCACATCTATGATCCACTCTTGCCAACACGCATTACTAACAATGCTTCCGACCATGGCATTGGTGTTATCCTCGAGCAACATGATGGCGTGGACAGGCACCCGATTGAGTATTTTAGCAAGAAAGTGTCTGCCATGCACTTGATTGATGACACATGGAACAGAGTTATTGGCCTTCGTACACGTGTTCAAGCACTGGCAGCATTTTCTTCTCGATCGACGACAATACCGATGGGTAACAAATAACAATCCGTTGGTCTTCTACAAGACCCAAGACACGGTCAATAGCACCATCGCCCGTTGGATGGCCTTTATCTACCAGTTTGACTTTTTCCCCAACCACATTTTGGGAAAGTCAAACCGTTTTGGGGATGCCCTTTCACGGCGTCTGGACCATTGTGCTGCCGTCTACTCGACTCCCGAGATGGACGACGACTTGCGGGACAGCTTCATCCGTGGCTACCAAGCCGACCCTGAGTTTCACGAGAAGTACACAAATTGTTCCTCTCCCAATCCGGCGCCAATCACATTGTCGGATCCAAGAGGGATATTTGCTCGTCCACTTGCGCAGGAAGGATCTTCTTTGCATGCCGAGGGATTCACACTTGCGCACTCGGCTTCTTGGCGAGTTCCACGATGCTCCCGCCACCGGACATTTGGAGTCAATCGTACGATTGGCCGACTTCGCAAACCCTTTTGGTGGCCCGGTCTTCTCGACGACGTCACACGCTATTGCGAGTCATGCGAGGTTTGCCGACATTGCAAATCCCGCAATCATAGTCCGTACGACGAGTTGCGACCATTACCGGTCCCCTTGCATCGAAAGGAAGCGATTGCCATGGATATTACCGGGTCATTCCCCAAGCACAAGACGGGTGTGGAAGAGATTCCCACGGTGGTCGACCGACTCACCAAGTTTGCCATGTTTTTCCCTTGCCATTATCATGCCGAGGCACCAGAATTGGAGGAGGTTCTCTACACCGGTTGGATTCGAACCAAGGGTTACCCCAAGGAAATCGTTTGCGACGGCAACACTCGGTGCATGTCCGATTTCTGGTTGGCGCTCACCAAACGATGGGGCTCATCTCTCAAGCTGAGTTCGACTCGCCACCCCCAAACCGATGGCCAAACGAACAGGGCGCATCAGACCGCACAGGTTCTCCTTCGCACTCTCATCCATCCTGACCAAAAGGATTGGGTTGAGCGGCTGCCAGATGTCGAGCTGGCATACAACTCGTCCATTCATCCGACTATCGGGATGTCGCCCTTTGAGTTTGAGCATGGCTCGCCGGTCACTTCTCCGTTGGACACGATTATCCCACGAGCGTCCGAGAGAGACGACCATCTTCTCTTCATTCGTCGGATGCAAGAGCTTCTTGTCAAGGCACGCGACCAGATGTCGAAGACGAAGCAACGTATGAGTCAAAAGGCCAACCACCAGCGTCTTCCTTGTCCGTTCCATGCCGGCGACCGCGTTTGGGCCGCTGCGGAGTTCAGCCTCGAGCAAGATATCACTCGCAAGATCCTTCCGAAATGGATGGGGCCTTGGCCCATCGCGGCACCCGCTGGGGATGCACCCGAAGGGCCCTCCCTTGTCATTCAGGTGCCCGCCCACTTGCCCGTCTACGCAGTCTTCCATTGTTCTAAGTTAGCGCTGTTCACTCCAGAAGAACACGACGACTTTCCTGGGCGACGATCGCAAGACCCACCCTCTATGGACGGTTTTCAAGAGGTTGGTGACATCATCTCCCAGTGATGCTACGACAACAGGCTGACATAGTACTTGTACATTTCTCTTATTGTAGCCATAAGGCTGACTGTTCGTTGACCCATGCGGAACTTCAGGCACAACGCCTGATGTTCTCATACATTACGAACGCAAGTTACAAGGCAAGCCGGTGCCTTCGGCTCCACGTCGTACTCACGTCCAGGTTCCACCTTCGGTTCGTGAGCTTCGCCCTTACCCGGCTTGACTTCATAAGGAAGGGGGGGTGTTACATGCTGAGCCTGCACACAGACCCCATTTCAGGGTCCCGACGGTTGCTGATGGGCCCCCAGGCCGCGTGCCCATCGGACATGTTACATGCTGCGCCTGCAACAGGCTGCACGGGCCATTTTCAGGCCCGTGTCAGTTTCAGCCTGAAAGCCTGAAAACGAGGGCTTACAGGCCCCGTGTCAATTTCAGCCTGAAAGCCTGAAAACACGGGCCTACAGGCCCCGTGCCAGTTTCAACCTGAAAGCCTGAAAACCAGGGCCTACAGGCCCCGTGTCTGTTTCAGCCTGACAGC